AAAAAAATTAAAAATGTAATTTAAAAGATAAATTTGCAAAATTTATTTAAATATATAAATATAACTATATTATGACTTATGAGAAACTAACATTTCATTTTTTTAAGGTTTACTTTATAAAAAAAAACAAGTAACATAACATGCCACAACTAGATGTGGGAAGAAAAGAGAACCAAAGCAGAGTAGTTGAGTATTTTCTTCTAAGCCAGGATGAGGAATATTTGGGGTCTTATGAAAGAGAGGGAAAAGTATGGTAGATCAAAGAAAAGAAATAGAAGGATAAGATAGAAAGGATCATCCATAAATGAAAAAGAAATGTTCAAAAAAGAATAAAGTAGATGCCAATGGGAAGTGGTCAAGGGGTTTTCTGCCAGATAAACACTTGAGGTCATTTTATATATCAGTGCTATATTCTTTGTTATATGATACTTAAAAAAATATTATTCTGGTTAAAAAACCATATAACGTGAGATGTACCCTGTTAACAAATTTTTAAATATACAGTGTGGTATTGTTAACTATAAGCACAATACTGTACAGCAGATCTCTAGGACTTTTTCATTTTGTATGATGTTAACCCAGTTCTTAAAAAAATTCTTTTTTTCAAAATTTAATTTATTGCTCAGGAGATTCTCTTTTCTAGTTGCCACCAACTTTCTCCCCCAATGTTGGCAGAGAAGGTAGTGTTTTTGAGTTTGCTCTTCACTCTTTCAGTGTTCCCTCCCCCTCAGCCTCTCTCTCTTCTTTGTAGTGGTAACATTCCAAAAGAGATCCCTGAAATTCGCCAGCAGGTCCTGAAATACAGAAGGCAGACTTTTGCCAAGCATTTTATCTTACCAGTAATTCTCTCCCAACATTACTACTTCTTTTTGAATATTTCATGCAGCTGTATACTACTTTTTAGAAGATCTATTTCTATAACAATGTGTTAAAAGATTTACATTTAAAAATAATTGAATTATGTAAAATAGATTTGGGGAGCTGCCATGTAAAGGAATTCTGGTATAAAATCTTTTGTAAAGCTGTTAAACACTTCTTAAATTATATTTACAGAAAGATAATTTTTTTCTTATTTTTAAAATATTTTAAAAGTTTTTAATTTATTTTGAGAGGGAGGGAGAGAGAGAGAGAGCGAATGAGAGCGAGCATGAGCAGGGGAGGGGCAGAGAGAGGGAGGGAGAGAACACCAAGCAGGTTCTGTACTGTGAGTGCAGAGCCTGATGTGGGACTTGAACTCACGAACTGTGAGATCATGACCTGAGCAGAAATAGAGAAGTCAGATGTTTAACCAACTGAGCCACTCAGACCCCCCAACAAAAGATGATTTTTTTTTTTTTAATTTTTTTTTCAACGTTTATTTATTTTTGGGACAGACAGAGACAGAGCATGAACGGGGGAGGGGCAGAGAGAGAGGGAGACACAGAATCGGAAACAGGCTCCAGGCTCTGAGCCATCAACCCAGAGCCCGACGCGGGGCTCGAACTCACGGACCGCGAGATCGTGACCTGGCTGAAGTCGGACGCTTAACCAACTGCGCCACCCAGGCGCCCCAAAAGATGATTTTTTAATACATTGTATTAGTTATCTTGAAGTAATTCCCATATTTTTTTACTAATTTGTCCATTTAAAAATCTCACTTGAAAAAGAATTTGTGTGTTCATTTCTTTTTATCATAAGTTGGTGGTTGGTTACAGATCTCTGTGGCTTTTTGCAACCGTCTGCCAAATCATTTCTTCTATTAAGCAGTCTGCAAAAGTGCTCATGTGTCCTTTTTCCTAACAGCCTATTCCAAGCTCTCTCATGTTTCCATGGACATTTCCTAAGGCATTTCTAACTTTAAGAAATGTGTTTTATATAATTTTAATGTTTCCTCTGTTCTTTTTCTCTTTTATAACATTTCCTTCTTTTTAAAAAATTTATTTTTTATTTAATGAACAAAAGGTTAATTTTATACCTCAGGATATAAATATCCAAGTTTGTTATCCAAATCCATTTTTTGTTCAATAAATCAGTAAATGAATCATATTGATTATACTCTCTTCTCAACCCTACCCCTAGCAAATAATTGGGAATAAATTGATCTCTAGTTTGGTCTTGCATTTTAAAAAGATTATAGAAAAGTTAGAGAGCAGAACCAAAATAGTTAAATGGATAATCAGGAGTTTAAAAATACAGTATTTAATATGTGGGTGCATCTGGCTGGCCCAATGAGTAGAGCTTGTCACTCTTGATCTCAGGGTCCTGGGTTCAAGCCCCATGTTGGGCATGGAGCCTACTTAAACATTTTTTTTAAATTAAAAAAAATAAAAATATTTTATATATGTAATTTTATATTTATGCTTTATTCTGGGTATGCTATTCAAGCAATTTGTAACCAGACAAAATATTAAGGCCAAAGGTTTATTGAGCGCCAAATCTATGCAAAGAGCTGACCCTAGTTGTCCCAGTGTACGTCTTCTGTAAGGTCATAGGAAGCAAGAATAATTTTTAGCACTTGTCAGAAAGTCCGTATTAGGTATTTTAGGATAAGAAATATCAACGAGGGTACCTGGATGGTTCAGTTGGTTAAGCATCTGACTCTTGATATTGGTTCAGGTCTGCTTGGGATTCTCTCTCTCCCTCTCTCTCTCTCTCTCTCTCTGCCCCTCCTTTCCCCTCTCTCAAAATAAATAAATAAATAAATAAATAAATAAATAAATAAATAAATAAACAAACAAACTTTAAAAAATATCAACGATCTAAATACATAAAATTTTTCAAATATGGAATGGATTGAAAGGAAATTTCTGGATCCTTCATTTCTGGTTTAAGAGTTATTTGGTTAATCTCTTTGGTGATGGATTCATTCATTATATGCAACAGTTGTTTAGTATGTGGATATTCTGTGCTAGGCAGTAAGCTAACTTTTAGTGAGAACAGACCTGGGTAAAGTAAACAATGGCCACAGAAGTAGCTTTCCACTTTGTCATCTTTACAGTTTTCCTCTTTTGAGGCTTTCCCCCCTTGCATATTCTCTGTAAAGCAATACATTAAAAAGTAAATCCCATATAATTTTGAGTTAGTTCATGAAGAGAATAATGACAGTTGAATTCAAAGTATTTTTATTACATTGAAAAATGTATAGGGAAAAGTAGATGCTGCTAGTGGGTAGTTAGATGAAGGAAAACGGTAGCTTATTGTTAAGGTCCTAGAAAATGAATGATGAGAAAAGAAAGCTATCGGATGGAATGACAAAAAAAAGATGCCAGTCTTTTTTTTTTTTTAAGTTAGGAGATGGTTACTGAATTAGTTAAGCTTAACAAATGCTGATTATGTAAATGTATTGCAAATAAAAATATGACTAAAATATGGCCTTCTGCCCTGATATGAATCACAGCCCAATAAAAACTGCAACAGAGCTGCAAATAATGTGTGTAAAAAAGAGGGAATGACTTTGTTGGTAAGAATGGGTATGTGGTTAGTGAAATAACCACAGGGTGCTAGGTGTTAAATGTTTCAAAGTCATCTGTATGAGACTTTTCCAGAGAAATGTTTTAAAGCCATCTTATGCAGCTTAGATATATTTTTAATGAATTGTTAATATTAAGCCAGATTCTTGAAAAGCCTTAAACTAAAAGTAAATTCAAACAAAATAAATTTTTGCAAGCAAAATTTGATTAGATAGCCACATTGATTCTTTGCGAAAAATATATTTTTTGATTTGGGGGAAGTTTCTAATTTCACTGTACTTAATTATATTATTATGAGCTATGTATTACTAGATTTCATGATTATTCAAAACCACACTGATCTTTTCTCAGCTTTCGGTAGTAGTTATTTGTACAGTTGATGTATCCCCTTGACATCTCTTAGATAGTTTGCTTATGTCCTTTAAAGTTGTCAGTTTTTACTTTTTGCCTGTATATGTGTGAACTTTTTGAGGACAGCAACCAAGTAGCCTGCTCCTTTTTGTCTACCTAGTGCCTGGCACAGTGTAAAATCATATAAAGCAAGTATTTTGAAATTTGGAATTATCAATTATTAAATTAGTTAACAACAAGACCATTAAACAGAGATGGCCCTAATGCCTTTGGCTGGCCTGAGCAAACCAAAATCTGTCTGTAAACACTTTAAAGTTTTGAAATTGAAACCAAAGCACAACCAGTCATAAACAGCCAACTAGGCCTTAGGCTATAGCCAATCAATAATTTCCGTACTTTGCTTCTACCTTTTCCTTATAAAAGTCTTTCCCTGAGCTTCTGTTGGTGAAATACTCTTAACCACTTTTGGTTTAAGTGCTGCCCAATTAGAATAGATTTTTGCTCAAATAAACTCTTAAAATTTTTTGTTATGCCTCAGTTTATTGTTTAACACCATTTAACTGTCCTGGTTCCTGTCCTCTACACCTTTACCAGCTTTTTGGTATCTTGCAAACAACAACAATGACAACAACAACAACAAAGACTGCAAAACCCTGCTGAATTAGAAGGCTTTCTTGACATTTCTCTTGGCCCCCTTTGGCCATATCCCAGTGAAGTTTTCTTGTCCCTCTAATCTATCATAATAGCATCATGTACATATTTCTATTACACCACTTGTTTCAAGATTTTCTAATTTTGTTTTCAGGCTTGTTTACCAATAGATTTGTTTGTTCCTTGAAAGTAGGAACAATTGGGGTGCCTGGGTGGTTCAGTCGGTTAAGAGTCGGACTCTTGATTTTGGCTTAAGGTCATGATCTTGTAATTCGTGAGTTCGAGTCTCATATAGAGCTCTGTGCTGACAGTGCAGAACCTGCTTGGGGTTCTTTGTCTCCCTCTCTCTCTGCCTCTCTCTCTCTCTCTCTCTCAAAAATAAATAAATAAACATTAAAAAAAGACAGTAGGAACAAGTATTTGAGTAGGAATATTATTTGTCTTTATGTCTCCGGTGCCTAGCACTATGCTAATCTAGCAGTAGGTACTCAACAGATATTTGCTGATTGAGAAAATCCAAATAGATTTCTCAAGTATAATTTCTTTTAGGTAAATTTCATCTGATTTCTAAGTTAGGAAGAGTGGAAAAAAGTGTAGAAGCTCACTGTGGAGCAGTTCTTGCAGGAAGATGGAATTATGAAGGAACAGCATTAGTTACAGGTAAGTTGTCTGCAAAAATGACATTTTAAACGAATTTTTTAAAGGAAAATTTTCTTTGAATCATATTTTCTTTAGTAATAGTGTCTTTCATTGTTTAAGAGCAGATAATTGGCAAAGCATTGAACTAACCTGCTAGATAATGTTATAATTCAGAATGTCATATTAATAATATATGATTTATGGAGAATATTCTGTCAAGACTTTTGAAATGGTCAGTTATGAGATAAATAAAAGTTGTAATTCTTTAAAATTTTAAAATTCAAAATATTCTTATTGAACTGACCTTTACCCCCATTCCATCTCTCTCCCATCTCCTGCTTTACTGCAAGTATTCTCATCTTTGTCTATGGTATTAGTTATCTATTGTCGCCTAACAAATTACCCCAAAAGGTAATGGCTTAAGACAGTAAACATGTAGTATCTTACAATTTCTGTGGGACAAGGAAGATTTAATTTGGTTGGGTAGTTCTGTCTCAGACTCATGTTGTTGGATAGGGCTTTAATAATGTGAAGGCTTGATTGGGGCTGCTTCCAAGATGGCTCACTCACATGCTCTTGGCAAGAGGCCTTAGTTCCTCTCTGACTGTTGGCAGCAGGCCTTACTTCCTCGCCACACGGTCTTCTCCGTAGGGCTGCTTGAGTGTTGTAACAACATGACAGCAGGCTTCATAAGTAAGTGATCCAAGAGAGAGCAAGATGGAAGACACAATATATTTTTTGAACCACCCTTGGAAGTCATTCTCTATCATTTCTACCACATTCTATGAGAAGAAAGTCACTAAGTATAGCTCACTGTAAAGAAGAGAGAAATTAAGCTCCACCTATTAAAAGGAGGAGTAACAAAGAGTTTGTGAATACATAGTAAAACCACCAACCTATTCCCTGGGCTTTCTTTTAGGACTTTTTTCAGTGAGTTGTTCCTTCTCTTGCCTATTTTTTCAACTTGTCCTTTTCCAGGGGTTTCTTTTTCAGCATATAAATCCATCTTGAAAATGAGAATAATGAAATAATCCTGCCTTTAACAAATAATTCTCTCTAGATACAACTTCCTCTTTTTTCTTTTAGGCAAGCTGTTCAAAAGAGAAGGCTACTACTTCACTCCATTCTGTCCCTACTTCACTGGAATTTGCCTGCAACTCTTCTTTTGCACTGAAGGCACTTTTCTTAGAATTGTAGGGTGGAGATTTCAGTGAAAATGAAAGTATTATTTGAATAATATTTTCATAAGTCTTCTAAGATTAAAGGAAAAAAAATAAAAATTTTGGGCATGGAAGTTGGGCTTACTCTGATAAAATTGTTTCAGAGTAACTTCAATTAAATTTTATAGTTATGAAGCACTGTCATTTAATGAGTAAATTGTATCCGAATTTTAAATATGTGTTAATATGATATATTGATTTTTATATGCACATTTAATGTTTAAATTTTTTTCTATAGATGAAAATATCAATTATTATTCTCTCTTTATAGCTGGAGAAGATGGACAAATAAAAATCTGGTCAAAGACTGGGATGCTAAGATCAACTTTAGCTCAGCAAGGTACATATAATAATCAATTAAGATGTCTTAACAGTTTCTTTTAAAACCAGACTATTATAGTTCTTAAGACAGATTTAGGTTGGGTTCAAAACCTGAAATCTCTTATTTCTGTTTACACTTTTTCCTCTTATTTTCCATGTTGCCTGATAGGCCATGATAACTGTATTATTTGAGCCAAGAAATAGAAGAAACACTCAAGGGCTTTTTCTTTTCTTTAAAAAAATTTTTTTTAATGTTTACTTATTTTTGAGAGAGGGAGAGAGAGTGAGATAAAGCACGAGTGGGGGAGGGGCAGAGAGAGAGGGAGACAAAGAATCCAGAGGCAGGCTCCAGGGCTTGAACTCATGGACCGTGAGGTCATGACCTGAGCTGAAGTCGGACGCTTAACCGACTGAGCCACCCTGGTGCCCTAGCTTTTTTAGTCAATCTATATAAATGCAGTTAAAGGCTAATGATTCTTTTAAAAATAATTCTGAGGCCTTATGAGCATAAACTACCTGGAATAGGATTGGGTGTCTATTTTTTTTTTTAAATTTTTTTTTCAACGTTTATTTATTTTTGGGACAGAGAGAGACAGAGCATGAATGGGGGAGGGGCAGAGAGAGAGGGAGACACAGAATCGGAAACAGGCTCCAGGCTCTGAGCCATCAGCCCAGAGCCTGACGCGGGGCTCGAACTCACGGAGCGCGAGATCGTGACCTGGCTGAAGTCGGACGCTTAACCGACTGCGCCACCTAGGCGCCCCTGGGTGTCTATTTAAGTAAATAATAGTAATAGAAAACATTGAAAGTATCTCCGTACTTAAAAAGTCCTAATAAGCTCATAATATTATCATCCTTTCTAAATTGTATTCTACATTTGGTGTCTACTCATGGAAGGGAGCAGATACCTTGAAGATTCAAAACTTGGTAAACTACAAATACTTAGAGCAACATCTTAGTTTCCTATGTTAATTGGAAAGAAGTGCCCATGAAATCAATCCAGTGGTCATTCCTGTTGGGATTTTGTGTGTGCGTGTGTGTGTGTGTGTGTGTGTGCGCGCGTGCATGTAGCAGATTTATTTTCCTAATTAGATTTTATCTAGTAATAGTAAAGCAGTTTTAATGTTGATCTGAACACATATCAGCTGATCTTTAGAGACAGGTTGTAGATAATTCTTTAGAATTATATGATAAAGTCATATTGTGAGGTATCTCCAGTTAATGACTTCCAAAAATTTCCAGATTTATTTTTTTAAGTCATGTGTACTCTTAGAATAGTGTTAAAATAGTTACATTTCCTTAGCTGCACATTAACCAAATTTTAGCAAAGGGCCACCATAAATAATAGGTAGTAGTTATTTAGGTAATCATAAATACTAGGTAATGGTTATCTCCTGAGGTTAAATATTTGCTACAGATAATCTCCAAATAGAATATTTATCCATGAATAGAAAATTCAGAGTTCATAGAAACATATATGGGTGAATTTTAGTTAGGAAAAAATGTCAATCCATTCTTACTTTAGCAATAAAATGTACCTCTAGAAAATAAATTTTATTTAGATTTTTTAGTAAGAATGGGGATTTATTTTTGGCTTTATAATTTTTGTTAGGGCTAATTATTTGGCATTCTCACTATATGATGTCTGACTTATAAGCAACTGACAGAATTCTTCTAGAAATTATTGCCCCCTTGGAGCTGGGGCTATGGTTCTTTTCAGCTGTTGCTGCTGCTGAGACACGTCCTTTTTTCCTTTCTTTTCTCTTTTATTAAATTTGTTGTTTACAGAAGCCACAGATCTTTAGAGAAATTCCAGAAGTTTCTTTCACTACCCATTATAGCAACTGGAATTCTTGTCTAAGACCCTTCTTCACTAGTAGCCCTGTAAGGTTACTTATTTGTTTTCTTAAATTCTTCCCAATCATCTCCTGCCCTTCTACTGCCCTTGCATTTACCATTTTGGACTTTCTGAAGTCTAAAGTTGAAAGTTAGAATATGTTTTTTAATATAAACAATGTTAATCATGGAGGATAGTTGACATAGTATTATTAGTTCGGTACGATGGTTTACCTGTGTAATGGGTCTGGAAACCAAATTGCCTCTTATTTTACTTTTATGGAGAAATATATTCAGAGTTCCCAAATTTGCAATGGCAATTTGGAAGCATAATATGTTTATAAATTAAGGGTGTTTTATAAATCTGAGGTCACAAACAGGTGGTCTATGGGCTGAATCTGGCATGCTAGAATGGTACAGGATCGATATTAAAATCAGGACATTTCACATACAAATTTGGTCTTCTGTCTTGAATTCATGAAGATTTACATCTATATTTTCTTCTAAGAGTTTTATAGTTTTCGTGTTTACATTTAGGTCTATGATCCATTCTGAGTTAGTTTTTGTGTATGATATTTATTTTAGAGAGGGATGGGTAGTACTCCTTTTTTTTCTTCCTCCAAATAGATGGGTAAATAGATTCTCTTAAAAGCTAAAATACTGCTTAGGTCATATAATATAGTATTTATTATATATTCATATAAATAGTGTATAGTATAGTATTTATTATATAGTCATCATATCATGTAATATATTTTCCATTGACATTCCAAATAGCTATAATTTTCTTTCTTTTTTTCTTTCTTTCTTTCTTTCTTTCTTTCTTTCTTTCTTTCTTTCTTTCTTTAAATATTTTCATTTATTTTTGAGACAGAGAGAGACAGAGCATGAGCAGGGGAGGGGCAGAGAGAGACAGGAGATAAAGAATCTGAAGCAGGCTCCAGGCTCCGAGCTGTCAGCACAGAGCCCGACACGGGGCTTGAACCCACAGACTGTGAGATCATGACCTGAGCCGAAGTCAGACGCTTAACCAACTGAGCCACCCAGGCGCCCCAGCTATAATTTATTAACATCAAATGGCTGTGAAAGGGCTGATCATTTTTATCTTATTTGAATCTTATTTATTTTCCTCACTCAAGGTTTATATTAATTATGAGATTAATTAGCAAAAATAAATTATATAGATTTTCTTATTTTGGTTAACTTATTGGTATTTCAACTGAATAATCATATCTTTTTTTTAGATTAAGAATTACAGATTTACTGTAGAACTATGCATCTAATTTTTGAGTTTTTGATCATTGGTGCCACCCACACTTTCCTAATAAGGCATAGACTTTTCCCATTTTATCTCTGGGAAAAATCATTGGAAAAATTAAGTTATAACAACATTGAAGGAAAAATATCAGGTTACTTATAAGGTATATTTGATTTATTAGAGATTACAAGTTTTGAGGGTGATTATAAACCTGAACTATGAACTACTGAGAGCTGGATGCTGAAGGCACGAGTAAGGAGGCCAAAGTAGGTGGGGTCAGGGACTCCAGCCTCCTTTTAGGATAAAAACTGGAAATTTTGGTACGAAAATGAAATAACACAAACCTGAGTTATCATAAAACTTGGAATTCAGCAAACAATGTTGAAAGCATCTTTGTGAATTTTACTACATGTTTATGTTAATTGTATTTATTTTTGATGAATAGAAAAAATTCTGAATTCATTTCTTAATGACTGGAGCCAGATGTACCCATAGAAAAAGTTGTAGTCATCACCTTTTTCTCTAATACAGAAAAAGCATTAATTCTAAAGGTTTTTTTTTTTTTTTTTGAAAAATTTGACTTAGTTTAGAAACAATTCTTACTGGTACCTATGAGGAGTCATTTTTCCTTATTAGAGAAAAATAATGTATGGGCCAATGATAATTATAATTAAACCATATCTTGTGTTACATTGTATATTTTAATTATAGGCCAAAATTGGAATAGAGTAATACTGCACACCTTTGAGGACATTCCTCCTATATTATATTCAACGTTTATTTATTTTTGGGACAGAGAGAGACAGAGCATGAACGGGGGAGGGGCAGAGAGAGAGGGAGACACAGAATCGGAAACAGGCTCCAGGCTCTGAGCCATCAGCCCAGAGCCGGACGCGGGGCTCGAACTCACAGACCGCGAGATCGTGACCTGGCTGAAGTCGGACGCTTAACCGACTGCGCCACCCAGGCGCCCCCTCCTATATTATATTCAAATGGAAGAATGGAATGACAAAAATGGAATCTATCGACAATGAATTTAGTACAGGAGGTAAACTGGAAATATAAATAACTGTTACACAATGCAGAATGCTGTGAGAGGACAGGAAGACAGAGATGAATGCTTTGGGGAGGAAAGAAAGTATCAGAAAGGCTTCCTGGCAAATATTCCTGGAATATCTTAAAAAACATTTTTTTTCCAATGTTTAGTTTTTTTTATTTTGAGAGAGAGAGAGAGAGAGAGAGCAAGCAGGGGAGGGGCAGACAGAGAGGGAGGGAGAGAATCCCAAGCAGGCTCCACGCTGTCAGTGTGGAGCCCAACGTGGGGCTCAAACTCACAAACTGTGAGATCATGACCTGAGCAGAAACCAAGTGTGGGACGCTTAACCAACTGAGCCACCCAGGTGCCCCTCCGCTTTTTTTAAAGTAGGCTTCACGTTAAGTGTGGAACCCAATGCAGAGCTTGAACTCACAACCCTGAGATCAAGACCTGAGCTATCAAGAGGTGGACACTTAACTGACTGAGTCACACAGGCGCCTCTAGAATATATTTTGATTGGGCTTTGAAGGATGAATAAATAAGGGAAGTAAATGGGCTTGTTGGCAATGGAGTGGGGCTGATTTGCCCTAGTGGCCCTCAGAGATGCTCAATTTCTTGTCTGGATTCCATCTGGAAGCCCCAGAATCCCCTCCTCAAGTTTTCTTGGGAGTCTAAGGCAGGTGGATCTCTAAGTCATGGCCAAGTAGTTGGAGCCATAAGACTGGTCTGGCTGATCACGGTCTCAGCTGGTCAGGGCTCCAACCCATCGTGCCACATACCACCTGCCACTGCAGGGGCCTCCTTCGGGTCTGTCTCTGAGCTGCCCCCACCCTTCTGGAGGCTTCCTAGAGCCTCTGCTGGCTGCAGACGTGGGGCACTTGCTGTCTAG